AATTTCCATTGATTTAAGTTCAGTTATGTTTATTTGAACTGAGTTAATTATAGAGTTGAGTTTCTTATTTGTTTCTTTGTAAATATTGTTTGGGTCACAAAATGGTGAATAAATCACTTGCTACACTGGACAGCATCAGTCTCCTGCACTTCTTTGACCGCTTAAGTCAAGTCCTACCATAATTATTGTTTGCAATCTTTTAATGCTTTTTGTTAAATGTAAAAACAATGGCTTTCATCCTCATCATATCTGTGTCCCTGACAGTTACTTATTCAAAATTATGATTGGCATTAAAAACACGTTGCGTTATTGCTTTTCCTTTCTTTCTTTATGCAAATGTAACTCATTCATTTAAGATTAAGACAGCTGTTATTGACACAAAAGGGAAACTTGTTCTGTAATGCAGTGTGGTGCCGAGGACCATCTGCAGCTGTGTTAAATGGCACAATGACGGGAGAATGAACTGATCATGTCACGGCAGGAAGAAACGGGAACTTCTGGAATAAACAAAGGCAACTCCACACATCAGGGCCCTGCCCTGTGTTCACAACAAGGACTCGGGACTCTTGCTGTGAGGAAATGTGCTAACTACTCAGTTTGTTTGTGTGGCCTTTCGTTGTGCTCTCACAAGTTTCTGTACTCTCATCTTATTCGGACCATCTGTTGCTCAGAAGGTAGTGCAGGTCGTTTACTAGCTGCAAGATTACAGGTTTGATCCCTTGCTCTTGTAGTCTGCACATTGAAGTAACCTTGCGCAAGATGCTGTTGTCCCAATGCATCTAACAGAGTGTGCATGAATGTTAGACAGTGTGCGTTGGTTTAGAAAAAAGCACTTTTATGAATGTATGCGAGATTGGGTGAATGAGGTTTGTAGTAAAAATGCATTTTGAGTGTGCAATTAAAGTATTGATCTATTTACCAATCATCTACTCTCTTTTTGACTGTTGCAAATCTGAATGACTACAATCTTGAAACTGTACTTCTCTGCTATCCCAACAGAACATAAAGAATAGACACACACTGGCTGAGAAAGAGGCTCTGTGGGAAACAGATGACACTAAGCTGGTCCTTGTCCCCATACAGTGAAGGCAATGAGTCTGTGTTTTCTAATTTAATGAAAGCTTTCACAATTTTTTATTATTCTTGACAGTGTTTGTTATTCTTTGCAAAACTGGTAATTTTACTGTTCTGGCTCAAACGTGGCAGCACGGTGGTTAGCACTGTTGCC